GCCACGGGCTCGGCCCTAAATAGGTTTTTTTGTCCTTTTTGAGACCGGCCGCACCATGCTCAGCCAGTGAGCGCTGTGAGCGCACCGGTCATCCCTATATAGGATCCAAACCCGCGGCAGGGAGCGCTGCTGCGCTCCCAGCCCCGCACTCTCCTGAGTGCGCCACGGGCTCGGCCCTAAATAGGTTTTTAGCACAGAAATTTACAGAGTCTCTAGTATGTTAATGTGCTCTTAGGACTCAATAAACCTAGCTTATAGTAAGCAGCATTTTACAAATTATTTGCCCACAACACAATTTTGCAAAGCTCTTCTTAGAACACAGTGGGAAATGTTGACCCACAGGTAAAGCCCATGCTTATCCACATAGTAGGCAAGGCCCATCACGATCCAGACCTCTACCTACTCTCACTCCATTTCTAGTTGTTCTACACCTCCAGTGAGAAGTGGGAGAAAAAGCTATTTCAGACTCTGCCTTCATGCTCATACTATTTTATATGGCTGGAATGGCATCCCATCCACCTACTCATTCAACTCATCCTACTTTCAATTTCAGCTCAGGAGTTATTCTCTAAAATTATTTCTGACAGTCCTCTTGTGAGAGACTAAGTGTCTTTCTCTGTGCTACCCTAGCACTCCACGTATACTAACTATGTGGAAATTATCTATTTAACATCTGAATCTCACACTAGATTATGAGATTCTTGAAAATTAGAAATATGTCTTACTCCTTTCTGTATCCCCCTCCATAGATATTTGCTGCATTAAATTTAAAAGAATGATAGTTTCTAGGACTATACAAATAGTAATATATGACTCTCTACCTCAAGCGGTCTACTATCCCCGTGAGGAGCCAACAGGCAAGTACTTTTGATACAATATGAAACAGTCATACTGCTATAGACTGCCTACGTGTGGCAGTAATAGTAAAAATTTTCTAGAAAATATGAGTTTATCATAATCTTTCAAAATACAATTGTACAATTCATAAGCACTGAAATCAAGTGAAATAAATTATCAGAAACACCTTTTAGTTTATTTCTAAATGATTAAAATCTATGAATATCAGAAGCCTAGCACTAATGCCTCTTCAAGTCATTAATTAATTGCTTAGTAGAAAAAAAAAAAGAAAAAAGATATGTGTTGAACTTCCTTTAGTCTTTTATCCTCAATGGCTCTATCTTGTCAAAATAAATTTAGTTTCCAGATAATTGAGTCAGAAACGGTTGTAGTTAAATCGTATAAGCCTTGTTGTCAAAAGATGAAGAATACAAATTAAATTTTTATTCTATAGATAAAATTTTAATCTCATGCTCCATTGCAAAGCTCTAAAATTTAAAATTATGAATATATATCCCTACCTTGAGCTGAATTTTTTTCTGTAGCTCTTCCATAGCTTCTTGTTGAGCAGCTGTGAGTGCTGCCAGTCGTTCTTCCCTGTCTCTGTAAGAAGACATTAAAAATTACAAACTCAACTGCTTGGAGCAACAAATCTCATGAGGTTAAAAAATACAATTAGGACACACAGGCTTATATATTCTAAAGGGCTATTATTTTTAAAAATTATTTTTTTCTGAGTGCCTATAGAGTCCCAGGTATATTGCTCATTAAGTGTTTGGGAAGCAACAGAGATTATTAGCCATGAAAATGGGTTTCTGGACTGTCAATTAAATACAGCATGTGGAAAGAACACATTTATCTCTTTTCCTTTCCAAAAAGCCACTAAAATGATAAAAAAGGAATGGAAAAGCCATAAACTCACAAAGACAAAAAACATGAGAATAATCACACGTGATGGACATCAATATTTCAGAAACTAAAAAGCAAACGTGAGAAAGTTGAAATCTAAGCTTTCAGAATAAAACTAATAAGTAAGGTAATTCTACCAGAAGAATTCCATAAAAGCTCAGAAACTGAAGAAACTACTTATAAAAGAAGGGATAAAGGTTGGGGATGAAAACAAGCAGAGTGGTAAAGCCTTAAAAGAAACACTAAGTCTCCAAATCTCCTCCCTACTAACAAACAGACCCTGTATTCAGGACAGCAGGCAAGGTGTAGGTGAGATAATATGAAGGTACTTCAAAAGGTCACGGAAAGATTTGTACTGTCTTTTAATTCTATTTCTCCACAATCTTTATGAAGTACCCTCGTATACTGAAAACAGGGAATTAAAGTGAAAATCTACATACTGAAATGGTTAAACAAGTAGTAAGTATCCTTCCCCTTTTCAACTCATACAGCATTAGTAACCAGGTTTATATACCACTCCCCCTGGAACTCCATGGAAAATTCCTCTCTTAAGACACCCTAAGAGAAAAGGCCAACAAAAAGACATTTGGGGTTCTCCAAACAAATGGCCAGTTCCCCACAGATCACAGGAGATTGAGTCTCATTATTCATTAGTCCTGTTGACAAAGTAAGAGCTCCCAAACAGCTTTTGAGAGCTTCATTCTTAAAAAGAACAACTAATGATCATCAAATATTTGAAGAAGATATTCTGGGGAAAAAAAATGGTGATGGGTCTGGAGCGCCCGCGTCAGGAAACAGCGCGATCCTGAGAGCTGTGTG